ACACACACACACACACACACACACACACATTGGAAATTGGGGTACAGAACACTTTTAGCTGCATTATATGATAGCTCTATATTTAACTTTTTTGAGGAATAGCCATACTCTTTTTCAGACAATGATTGCAAAAGTTTACATTTCCATTAACGATGCACAAGTGTTCTTTTTCACCACATCCTAGCCAACACTCATCTTTTTCCTATTTAAAGTAGCTATTCTAACAGGTAAGACATGATAGATAAGCTATCTCATGATGGTTTTTATTTGCATTTCCCTGATGATTAGTGATGTTGAGCAGTTCTTCAAATCTGGGCAATTTGTACGTAGTTGTTGGAGAAAAATGGCTATTCAGTTCCTCTGGCACCTTAAAAACAGATTATTTTATTTCCATTTGAATTATATGAGTTCCATATATATTTTGGATATTAAGCCCTTACCAGATACATGCTTTTCAAACATTTTCTCCCGTTCATAATTCGTCTTTTACTTTTTTGGTTGTATCTTTGTGCAGGTTTTTTTTTTTAATATATAGCCTCCCTATTTATTCTTGTTATTGTTGCCTTTCCTTTCGGTGCCATATCCAAAAGAATCATTGGCAATACTGAAGTCAAAAAGCTTTCTTCCTCTTTTACTTTAGAAGTTTTAGAGTTTCATGTCATATTTAAGTATTTAATCCATTGCAAGTTTATTTTTGAGTGGTATAAGGTAGGGCTTTAATTTTATTCTTTTATATGTGATTACCCAGTTTTCTCTACACCATTTATTGAATAGACTATTCTTTCCCCACTGAGTAAACTTGGCTCCACTGTCAAATATTACTTGATCACATGTGAGAGGGTTTATTTCCAAGCTCTCCATTCTGTTCCATTGGTCTCATGTGGCCAGTACCACAGGGTTTCAAATAGTATAGCTTCAAATCAGTTTGAAAGAAAGTGTGATGCCTTCAGCTTCTTTCATGATTGCTTTGGCTATTCAGGGTCTTTTGTGGATCCACATCAATTTTAGGATTCTTTTTTTTTTTTATGCTTCTGTGAAGCATGCCACTGGAATTTTTGATAAAGGGTTCATTGAATCTATATATGACTTTGGGTAGTATGAACATTTTAACAATATTATTTCTTCCAATCCATGGACACAAGATATCTTTTCATTTATTTGTGTCTTTCTCAGATAACTCACTGTTAGTGTATATAGATGCAGCTGATTCTGTACACTGATGTTCAACCCTGCAATTTTAATCTTTGTTTATTAGTACCATTTTTTGGTGGAATCTTTAGGATTTTTATATATGAGATAATATCATCTGCAAACAAAGATAGTTTTACTTCTTTCTTTCCAATTCAGGTGCCTTTTCTTTCTTTTCCTTGACTAATTGCTCCGGCTAGGAATTTGCTTCCTTGTAGTTACCCTATCTGACTTTACTATCGAGATTATGCTGGCCTTATTAAATGAGTTTGGGAATGTTCACTCCTCTTTATTTTTTTAAAGTTTGAGGAGAATTGGTATTAATTCGTCTTTAAATTTTGGATAGAATTCACCAGTGAAGACATCTGGTCCTGGACTTCTCTTTGTTGGGAGATCTTTAATGATGATTAAGTCTCCTTAGACATTATTTATCTGTTCATTTTTTGTTTTTTGTTTTTTTGTTTGTTTCTTCATGGTTTAGTCTTGGTTAATTGTATGATTCCAGGAATTTATCTATTTCTTCTAGCTTAACCACTTTGTTGGTGTATAACTGCTCACAGTAGTTTCCTATGATCACTGTAGTTCTGTGGTATTCTTGTAATGTCTCTTCTTTCATTGTTGATTTTATTTATTTGAGACTTCTCTCTCTGTTTTTAGTTCTTATACTTAAAAGTTTTGTCAATATAAGAAATATTTTCAATAAAACCAGATTTTAGTTTCATTGATCTTTTCTATTGTTTTCTGGTCTCTTACTTATTTCTACTGTGATCTTTTTTTTATTTCTTTTCTTCTGCTAAATTTGTGCTTAGTTTCTTTGTTATTTAGTTAGTTACTTACTTACTTTGTTGTTTGTTGCTTAGTTTGTGATAAACTTCTTACAATTGCTTTTACTGCATCCTACAGGTTTTATTATATTGAATTTCCATTGTCATTTCTTTCAAGACATGTTTTAATTTCTCTTTTTGTTTTTTCTTCTACCCAGAAGTGTGTTTCTTTTGTTCAGGAGTGTGTTATTTAATTTTTACATGTTTGGACTTTTCCAGTTTAGTTTCTATCACTGATTTCTAGTCTTACACAATTTGTGCTTAGAGCATACACTTGGTATGATTTCAATCTTATTAAATTTTCTAAGAGTTATTTTGTGTGTATATGCCACATCTTTATTCATTCATCTGTTGATGGACCCTTAGGTTACTTCCATATCTTGGCTATTGTAAATAATGCTAGCGTGAACATTGGAATGCATGAAGCTTTTCAGTTTAGTATTTTTGTTTTTTTCAGATATGTACCCATAAGTGGAGTTGCTGTATCATATGGTTGTTTTAGTTTTTTGAAAAACTTCCATACAGCTTTCCATAGTCGCTACACCAATTTATACCCTCTCGGAGGTAGGGCTCTTCCAATCCTGCCCATGGCTCGCTGATGGCTCAGGGGACTGCTTAAGGCTGCAGGGTGGCTCTGAGATGAGCTTCCCCTGCCGGGCTGGTGCCCTGGGGAACGTTCCTGCGGTCTTGGAGCTGGGTCCACCCCTGGCAGCAAGGCACAGACTGTGGGCCTCAAGGCTCCTGGAGGACAGGCAGGTCAGGCAGCAGCATAGGGGCATCCATCTGGATCTCACGCTGCAGGGACTCGACGTCTGCAGGGATCATGCCATGGCCCTCAAGCCAGTCAGCAAGGAGGGAGGCCAAGAGCCGGCGAGTCGGCCTGGCCATCCTAGGGCCCATCAGCCACACCCACACCGAAAAAGTAGCTTAGGAATTCCTCCAGGTCAAGGCCAACACCCTAGCCAGCCCCACTGCCCTTTGGTGTGCCCGAAAACACAGGGGCAAGGGGTCCTCCACCTGCGACTTAGACAGTAGCTGGGTCACCAGGTTGACTGTCGGGTGACTCTGAGGCGGAGGGCTGAGGGGGCCCCCAGGATCTTGAGGGGGTGGGCCAGAGGGGAAGTAAGGCAGAACACTCAGGGCGCTGGGGCCCGGTAGCCCGGGCGGGGGGATGGGATGGCACCAGCGACTGGGGGGCCAGGAGGCCGGAGGTGGTGGTGGCCTGGAGAAGGGCAGGCGCAGGCCGGGATAGGTCAGGCAGGCTGTGGTGGGGGGCAGGCAGGAGGGCAGGGGTGCGCCAGGCTGCGGGGGGGGAGGGTGGCTGGGGGCCGGGCCATGCAAGTCCAGCACTCCAGCAGACAGCGGTCATTGTCGCTGAGCACCAGCCCTGCCAGAGGGTCGGCGGAGGGGCCCAAGGAGGCCCCTTGCGCTCCTGCTCCTGCCGCCGCCGCGGCCGCTTCTCCTCCCGCTCCAGCGGGTGTCACCGGCTTCCGAGGCTCAGGGGCCTCCAGGGGGGCGCTGGGGCCACCCGGAGCCAGCTCCTCAAAGACTTGAGCAGGGCAGCCTTGAGGGCTGCCTTGGTGTTGTCTGAGATCTCTTCGGAGGGGCTGGTTCACTGGCTGGCGGGAGGGGTCGGGGGTGGGGGGCGGCAGGCTCAGCTCAGTGATGTCAGGGAAGGGGTGTGGAGGTGGGGCTGGCGGAGGGGGGCAGTCACTCCACGGGGCAGTCCCCAGTGGGAGCCCAGGGACTGGTCATCTCAAGGTCCCGGCGGCCAGGCTCACTGGCCACAGTGTGTGAGGGGTCCCTTTTCTCCACATTAGTTTTTTGTGATTTTTGATAACAGCCATTCTGACAGATGTGAGGTGGTACCTCATTGTGCCTTGGATTTGCATTTCCCTGATGGTTAGTGATGCTGAGCATCTTTTCAGATGCCTGTTGGCCATCTGCATGTCTTCTTTGGGAGAAAAAAAAAAAAGTCTGTTCATAACTTATGCTCATTTAAAAAAATTTTTTTTGAGTTGTATGAACTGCTTGTATATTTTGAATTTTAACCCCTTATAAGTCATATTATTTGCAAATATTTTCTCCTATTCAGTATTGTCTTTGGTTTTGTTGATGGTCGTCTTTTCTGTGCAAAAACTTTTAAGTTTAATTAGGTCCCATTTGCTTATTTTTGCCTTTATTTCCTTTGCTTTAGGAAACAGATAAAAGTATTGCTATGATCTATGTCAAAGAATAGTCTGCCTATGTTTTCCTCTAGAAGCTTTATGGTTTCTGTTCCTACATTTAGGCTTTTAATCCACTTTATTTTTTTTAATTTTTGTATATGGTGTTAAGATAATATTATAGTATCATTCTTTTACAGGTAGCTGTCCAGTTTTCCAGCACCACTTACTGCAAGACTGTCTTTTTCCATTGTATATTCTTGCTTCCTTTGTCAAAGATTAGTTGACTGTGGGTGTGTGTGTTTATTTCTGGGCTCTCTATTCTGTTCCATTGATCTGTGTGTCTGTTTTTGTGCCAGTTTTATACTGTTTTGATTATTGTAGATTTGTAGTAAAATTTAAAGTCAGGGAGTATGATTCCTCCAGCTCTGTTCTTCTTTCTCAAGATCGTTTTGGCTATTCAGGGTCTTTGCATTTCCATACAAATTTTAAAATTATTCTAATTCTCTGAAAGTTCCATGGAATATTACTTATCCATAAAAAAGAATGAAATTTTGCCATTTGCAACAACATGGATGGACTTGGAGGGTCTTATGCTAAGTAAAAGAAGTCAGACAGAGAAAGACAAATGCGTATGATATCACTTATATGTGAAATCTGAAAATACAATAAATTGGTGAAGACAATAAGGAAGAATCAGACTCACAGATATAGAGAACAAACTAGCAGTTACCAGTGGGAACAGAGGAGGGGGAAAGGACAATATAGGGATGGAGCATTAAGAGGTACAAACTATTAGGTATAAAATAAGCTACAAGAATATATTGTATGATGCGGGAAATATAGGTAATATTTTATAATAACCATAAATAGAGTATAACCGTTACAAATTTTAAATTACTATGTTGTAAACCTGTAACTTATGTAATATTGTACATAAATTATACTTCAATTGAAAAAATGAGGCTGAGTTGTAAAAAAAAAAAACTATAATATCTATCTGGAGAATGTTTTGTTTTGTGTGTGTTCGACAAGAATATTCATTCTGCCTGTGTTGAAAGGAATGTTCTCTTTATGTCTGTCAGGTCAATTTGATCTAAAGTATAGTTCAAGTCCAATATTTCCTATTGCTTTTCGATCTTGATGATTTATTCATTATTGAAAGTGAAGTACTGAAGTAGGAGAAATTATGAGCTGAAATGATCTCTCTTGGCCCTGAACTGTGCCACCTTGGGGAAGGGTTGATGTGGGTCAAGTCAAAATTTTCTTCTATCTCCAATGCATCCAAACTCATACTTTTTTGTTCCAGCACACTTCTCCATTCGAAACCTGGACTTCCAGATAGGCTCATTCATGTGTGAGTGATTGTCTGAGACAGGGTTCTCCAGGGGCTCCTGGATCATGGCTGGGAGGAACGGGAGCTAGTTCATGGACCACTTCAGGGTCAACAGCCAAGATCAAGGTCTACAAGCCTATTACTCACTGTGCAGGTGGGCAAGGCTCCTCCTGGGTCCCATGGCATATGGTGCTGGATCCCATAACTCTCTCAAGGCACTTTAGTCTGTAAATAGATGCTAAATCTTTGTTGTTTGGAAGGGGCACATGAAGATGTCTTCCCCCCCTTGTAACCATAAGTTTGTTTTCTCTATCTGTGAATCTTTTTCTGTTTTGTAAATAAGTTCATTTGTGTCTTTTTTTAGATTCTACATTTAAGTTATATCATTTGGCATTTTTCTTTCTCTTTCTGGCTTCACTTAGAATGACAATCTCCAGGTCCATCCATGCAAATGGCATTATTTCATTCCCTTTTATGGCTGAGTAGTATTCCATTGTGTGTGTGTGTGTGTGTGTGTGTGCGTGTGTGTGTGTAGATAGATAGATAGATAGATAGATAAATCTTCTTTATCCAGTGGATGAAGTATTCAACTACACAAAACAGTTCAGAGTTATTGAGTCATATTTGCACTTTTAAATGCAAAGTAACCCTTCCAAAATGTTCAAAAGTTCAGAGCTGCAGAAGTCTTCATGCTGTACCCAAAGGCTAAGCAGCTCTGTGTGCCTGGGGTGCCAGAAATCATTCTTCTCTTGCTCATCCTCTTTCCCTTTCTTCCCTCTGCACTTCTCCACTTTCTTTGGCTTTCTCTCCCTTGCAGGCATTGTGCAAAATAGTAAAAAAAAAAAAAAAGTAATTAAAAAAGATAGACATTCTAACAAAAACTGTAATAGGTTTCTTTGGGAAAATAATGCAAAAATTATCTTCTATAATACATGTTCCATATATAACAAATGTGGAACATATATAGGTGAAGTATTGAGCCAGAATTTTATAATATTTAAAACTTCCAAGAATTTTTTCAGGTAAAATGAATAGCCTTATTTTACAGAAAAGGAAACAACATCTCTGAAATTAAATACGTTGGACCATTTAATTTTCGGTCATTCAGCTATTAAGTGACATCTCATTCCAGTGCAGACCTTTCTGTCCTCAAATCTCATACTCCTGAGGGAATTCTGTGTTTCCAATCACTAACACTCACAGTTTCATAAATTGGTATAACATTTCATGCCTCTGAAAACATTTTGAAAATTTCTCGAGGCCCACTGCTATCAAACCTACACTGCTGGTGAGTCTGTAACTTGGTGCAGCCATTAAGGAAAACAGTATGGAGATTCCTCAAAAAACTAAAAATAGACTTACCATATGACCCAGCAATCCCACTTCTGGGTATATATCCAGAAGGAACTCTAATTCAAAAAGACACCTGCACCCCAATGTTCATAGCAGCACTATATATAATAGCCAAGACATGGAAGCAACCTAAATGTCCACTGACAGATGACTGAATAAAGAAGTTGTGGTATATGTATACAATGGAATACTACTCAGCCATAAAAAAGAATAAAATAACACCATTTGCAGCAACGTGTATGGACCTAGAGATCGTCATTCTAAGTGAAGTAATCCAGAAAGAAATTTTGGGAGTTTGAGATTCATAAATGTTAGCCATTATACATAAAAATAGAGTTTTAAAAGTT